AAAGAAAGAAAGAAAGAAAGAAAGAAAGAAAGAAAGAAAGAAAGAAAAAAGTTATACATCCTTCAATTCCTACCTTCTCAGCAACTTAAGTGACTTCCTTCGAGGCTGACCAATGTCTGGACCATAGAGTTTTGCATTTTTGAAAGCTGACTTTTGTAGAAGTTTATGCAACGCAACAAAGTCTTCTCCTAACTGCATCCCATCAAGGAAAATGTGAGCTTTCTTCCAGAAACTGTTGGGCTCTGAAAGACAGAAATTTTCATGCTCACCCCTTACCTAGACATTCAAACTATAAACCTAGACTCAAAAGCCAAGAAAAGGTAAGACACAAAGAAAAGTTAATAGAGAGTTTGGAAACATAAACATTTAAATATGTCACAAGGAGGGAGTAAACAAATTGAAGTTAATAATAGAAATGTTTAATCAATGAGTATTTGGAAAGCAGTTTATATCTGGTATTAAGAGCCCAATTTACTTATTTATTTACAAAAAAACAAATAAAAAGAGGGTCTAGGGACACAGCTCAGTTGGTAAAATACCTGCCTTGCCAGCAGGAGGACACAGTTTGATCCCCAGAATCCATGTAAAAAAGCCAGACATGGCGGCATATTTGTAAACCCAGTACTGGAGAAGCAGAGACAGGCTGTGGCTTGCTCTCCAGCTAGCCTAGTCTACACAGTAAGTTCCAGGTCACCAACAGACCATCTCTTTCTCAAGTACACATAAAGGTAGAAGGCACCGAAGGAATGACACTTTAGGGTATTTGTAGATGAGCATAAGCACACAAGCATGCACACACACACACACACACAAGAATGGGCAAGGAGAAGAATATTACAAGTTCCTTAGGACAATAGTTAAGAGCACCAGCTGCTCTTCCAGATGACCTGGATCCACCTGATGGCTCACAACCATCTATAGTCTATGCTGGCAACTTCTAGACAGCGTGACCATATAATGTAATGAAGGTGGGAATGCGGCTTGGATGTATTAGCTACATTTTTGTTGCAGTAACTGAAAGCTATTTCTCTTGTCTTATCGTTCCAGAGGTTATGTTTTATAGTGGTCAACACAGGAAGCCGGGGGTTGATGTGGAGGGGGCGGCTACAAACTGTCAAAGCTGGCTCTCAGTTCTACAACTTCCTGCAAGGCTGCAGTACCTCCCCAAACAGTTCTTCCTGTAGGGGACCAAGTGTGCACACACCTTAGCCTGTGGGGACATTCCCCATTCAAACCGCCACATGGAGATTACCTGACTTGACTAGAGTAAAATGAAACTGCCAACCCCATGGTTTCACTGAGTCCAGTTTGCTAAGGCTCATGGGAATCTGGATGCTGGGAAGGATGGCGGCTCCAGTAGGTCTTCTTACCTCAAAAACAACATAAGGATGTGCTGGTGAGACGGCTCCGCTGGTGAAGCATTCGTCACTGAACACATGTGGACGTGGAAGGACAGACCAATGCCACAAAACTGTCCTCAACCTACACATGGGTGTGCTGTGCGCATGACCTTCCAACCACACACATAATAATGACATACATCAAAAAAGAAAGGAAGAGCCAGGTGTACTGGCTCACACCTGTAATCCCAGCACTCTGGGAGGCAGAGGCAGGTGTATTTCTGTGAGTTTGAGGCCGGCCTAGTCTACAAACCCAGTCCAGGACAGCCAAGGCTACACAGAGAAACCCTGCCTCCAAATAAATAAATAAGAAAAGAAAAGGAAGAAAACTTAATCACCACCAATAACACATAGGGTAGGGCAATGTCTTGGTTACTAAAGTACTCCCTGTGGAAAGCAAGAAAGCCTGAGTTTATGTTCCCAGGCCCCACACGAAGTGCCTGGCATAACGATATGTGTCTAACTCCATTGCTGGGAGGCAGAGACTGAAATCCCAGGGTTCAGTGGCCAACCAGTCTGGCTAGTTATTGAGTTCTAGGTACAGCGAAGAGACCCTGCCTCAAAAATATAAGGTGGAGACGGAGGGAGGAAGACAGCTGACTCCATTCCAGAACATCCACATGTGCGTGCGCGTCCGAGGGAGTGAGTGAGCGCCTGCGTGAAGGTGTCCAGGCAGAGGTCGGTTTGCTGCTGTGAAAAAGAATATCAAAACAGGAAAATAACATTTAATGGAACGCTCCGGGTACATACCATTGCCCAGCTCCCAGGAGATGTTATAACCCTTTGAAGAGCAGTAGTTGAGGAGCAGTTGGGCGTTGGAGCTGTTCCACCGCAAGTCTGGAGTTCTCAGTAAGGCGTTCAGACCGAAGATCAGGTCTAACCCCGAGCACTTAGCGAAACTGTGCAGCATGTCCACCGAGCTTCCTAGAAGAAAGATGGTGTTTAGGTGTGTCAGCATTGCAGCGAAGACTGCCTGCCCCCAGGCTCGCTCTTCCTGAGTTTTCTTCAGATCATATAGTCTGTCATTAGGCCTAAGCAACTGGACAAGCAAATGAAAACAGAAAAGCTTGGACCGAGGTCATAGCTCAGTTGGCAGAATACTTGGCTGACGTGAAGGAAGCCTGGGATTCTATTCAGGCCTCAAACCGCTACACAGCTTAGGATGGCCTTGAACTTCTAATGCTTTGGCTTTCACCTCCTGAGTTTTGGGATTGTGGCTTTACACTTAGGTTTTGAGAGTGTCAACAACATGATTTTAGGTCTTTAAACTTTTTTATTTTATGTGTATGGCTAGCCACCCACACATGCCTGTGTGTCTGTATACCACCACATGCATTCAGAATGCCTTCAGAGGCCAGAAAAGGATTTCAGATTCCTGGAACTGGAGTTGTAGATGGTTGTGAGCTTTCATGTGGTGCTAGGGATTGAACCCAGGTCCTCTGGGAGAGCAGCCAGTGCTCTTACCCACTGAACCGTCTCTCCATCCTCAACAATACAGTTTTAAATGTGGTCTTTGAATAGGGTATCAGAGATGTAATAAGTCTAAGATTTTCATGTAAATTCTCAAATCATTTATCCAGCAGAAATTCATTCAAAACTCTTCTAGTGCACACACACACACAGACTCCCCTCTATCTGGTAAATGCCAATACTTTCTCCTTAAAGCAGCTTTTCTTTGTTTGGCCTCTAGGTCTTTGGCCCGAATCACCTTTGTAATCACAGCCTCCACGTCTCAGATTTAACACCGCTGACAAAGGCTGCTGAGCAGCGCAGCTGAAGGGAGCATCAGGTGTTGTGGTATCTGCTGTGTCGCCCACTTCCACAGCACTGTGGCCAGTCAGCAAGGAGTGACACACAGTGGGATTTGAGAAACTCGGGTGTGCCGCCACCTAGACCACCGGGCCTCACAGCCTCGGTCTGGGACAGCCTTGAGCTTGGGATCACAGAGCCCACCCCAAACCTCCACAGTCACTTTCCTATGAGGTCCAGACAGCACAAGAGCTTGCCTGACTCCACCCTGGGTTTGTGTTGGCTGTTCCACAAAGTTCTTGGTACATGTAACACAAAGATCAAGTCTGGCCCTGAGCACTTAGCACAAGTGTCGTGTGGACACTACAGCCTGCTGCAAACTGTAGCTCCATAGCCGCCACAGGTACACCCATGGCCACTTGCATATTGCAAAAGTGTGATGGAGAAAGTCCTCTGGATCAGAAACCTGAGACCCGAGTTCACCTCTCCCAGTTAGACGAGAACAGGAACAACATGTCTACCCTCCAAGACCAGCTGTGGATCTACCTTCCCAAACAAGGGCCAGACACATCTACTCCAGATACCAAGGCTGAGAGCCAGGCTCAGAGAGGCAGAAGCCAGTGGCCACAGCACTTGGAAGCCTAAGGCAGAAGCATCAAGAGTTTGAGGCCAGTCTGGGCTGCAAACTGAAACCCTATCTCAAACAACAACAACAAAACAAACACAGGAAAACTTTTTGGAAAACAAAAACAAAAGCAAACAATTAAAAACAACAACAACAAAAAAAACACCCTTTACAGAAAAAGTAAAGCACCGTTAATGGCCATCCTTCTCCATTTCAAAAAAGTCTGGAGTGCCTGCTTTGCAGAGTATATTCTGCTCACACTTCTCTCCGCCTGTTTCTTTATTTGTAGTACTGTGAAACTAAAGTTATGTTTTCAGCTTAAATTGCTGCATTTAAGAGATCTATCAAACAAAAAATGCAGGTTCCTCTCGCCCAAGGACAGTTAACTTTCTGGGTTGTTGATGACAGATAGTAAGCCGTGTGTTTTCGCTCAGGTGAGCAAGTCTGGTTGCCCCAGGTGCACAGGATGACCTTGATGGTGTGGAGGTGGAGTACACAGGCAGGAGCATGTCAGGATGTCTGCTTGTGCCTTCTCCCACCACCACTGGATAAAGACGGGAAGTACCCAGCCTTGTGCAACCTAATTCAGCACCATTCTCTGGGGCTTCTGGGTATGGACCTGGCCAGTGTCCACCGTCCTGGCCATTGTTAAGTAAATCTTACTTCAATTAGATAATCGTGCGTTCAGTTTTTCTCCTTAAGGTTTTCAGGTATATTCCCTGATAACATAATAAACACGAATATCTCTTAGGACAAAGGTAATACACCTCTGAGCATCCATATATGTATAGGCCAGTGATTGGCACAGTACATAAAGGTACTTGCCACCCAGCCTGATGACCTGAGTTTGGTTCCCTAGGATCCACGTTGTGGAAGGAGATAACCAAGTCCCACAGGTTGTCCTCTGACCTCCACACAGGTGATACAGACACATACGCACACGCACTACACGTGACTACATAAAGAGACCTTGTCTCAAAACAAGCAAATGAACAAACAAAAGGAATCTGGCATGGCAGCCCACACCAGCCATTCTCAGCGCAACCCAAACAATATCATTAGACATCAGGTTTCAGATGAAAAAACATCTAATAGTTAATGAGGGATGCTTGTTTCGTTTCCTTGAAAGCTTTGTTGGCCAATGTCATCTTATGCTGAATGGCTAAGAAAAAAAACAAAACAAATACTGGTGTGGATGTGGGGAAAGCGGACACATCCGCTACTGGTGACAAAGCAACCTGGTGCAGCACCTGTGGGAGAACCATATGACCCAAACATACTGCACTTGGGCTTATATCCAGAAAACTCCTACTATAGACATATTGTTCATCCGCATTCATTGCTCCTTTATTCACCATAGCCAAGACGTGAAAACAGCCCAGCTAGCCCTCAACTGATGAATATAATAAAATCTGCTCCATTTATATAATGGAGTGTAATTTGGCTGTTAAAATGAAATTATGAGCTGGGCAGTGGTGGCACACGCCTTTAATCCCAGCACTGGGGAAGCAGGTGGATTTCTGAGTTCAAGGCCCACCTAGTCTACAGAGTGAGTTCCAGGACAGCTAAGGCTACACAGAGAAACCTTGTCTCAAAAAATGGAGGGGTGGAAGAGATGAAATTTGTAGGTAAATGGTTGGATCTGGAAGCAATCATTCTGAATGAGGTAACCCAGATATAGAAAGACAAATGTTGTGTTTTCCCTCATTTCTGGATTCTAGTTCTGAGACTCAAAACAGTGGACTTTGGAGGATTTCAAATTCTGGACTTTCAGACTCAGGATTTTCAATCCGTAGAGGGTTTTCATACTTCTAAAAGGAGAGAGAGATGAACAAGGAAGAGTGGGTGCGTTTTACACTTTACACTTCCATATTTTACTTTTGCTCGATGACTGTGTTTATGTCCCGACTCCCATGGCTGGTTTCTGAATCCTACTCTGTGGCTGGCCGCCAAATCAGGAGTCAAGGGGAAGCTTCCGGTTCAGGCTCTCCCACCCATTCTTTTCCTTCTTTCCTGACGCTGGTTCTTGAAGTCAGAAGCCTCGCGCATGCTCAGAGTACACTCTGAGAAGGAGCCTTTCGCCAGCCTAGCTCATCAGCTCTTTGTGTGTGTGCATGGGTGTTCCTGTGTGCAGGGGTGTTCCTGTGTGCAGGGGTGTGTGTGTGTGTGTGTGTGTGTGTGTGTGTGTGTGTGCGCACGCACACACACACATGCTCACGAAGGTCAAAAGCTGCCCACCTGGGCACCTGGTGAGCAGAAGGTGGAAGAGGGCACCAGATTCCCTGGACCTGGAGTTAGAAGTTGCAGTGAGTCACCCATGTGGGTGCTGGGAACCAAGCCTCAGGAAGAGCAGCCAGTGCTCTCAGCCGCTGAACCATCCTAACTGGTCTTCCAGCTGCACCAGCCCTCACCTTAGCTTTGTGAGACACGGTCTCTCACTGAACCTGAAACTCACTAACTGACTAGAGGTTAGCGGAAGGGATCTACCTGGCTCAATATTGGGTTACTCACATTAAAACAACAACAACAAAACCAGATCTTATGATCCTCGTGTTTGCATGGCAGGCACCCCTGCCCTCCCCCACCAGACTCCTCATTTGGTCTTGATAGGATTTAAATAGTGTGTAGCTGTAGACATGGCTGTAGGAGTTAAATCCAAGTGCAGCCCCCTCCGAACACGCCTGTGGCTAGGACGCCTGCGGGCACGTGCATTTCTTACTTGAGTAGGTGCTGTTCTTGAACTTCTTTTGGTACTGTTCTCTGAGTAGCAACAGCTCCTGGAAGGGCCATTCCATCTGGAGTTTCCTCATCACCTCAGCGGAGACCGGCTCAGACCTGCAAATGTCTGAAAGCGGAAAAGAGAACTCAGGAACACCATTTTCACAGTGACAGGGTTGAAACCCAACGTGGATATTTAGTCAACTCTTACGTGGCTAAGGCAGGTGATTGCGTTTCTGGTTATTAAGTACAAGATCAGAGAAATGTATGTCCTGTTTCATGTGCCACAATTGTCCCACTAAGGACTACAAAGAAAACAAAGAGCAATTGTCCTGAGACACATTGGGTGTCCGATGACATGGAGCATGGGACATGATTTAAAATGGTTTACTAATCCAGAAATCCCCTCAGCAGCTTGAGCTGACCAGAGAATTGGATGTGGAGGTCAGAGTTCAGCTTAAGAATGGAAGTTCGTTTTCAAAATACATCTGGCTGTGGTGGGACACACTTGTCACCTCAGCGTGTGGAGGCTGTGGCAGGAGGATTGGAACAGACTTGGGGCCAGCTTGCACTAAAGCAAGCCACTGTCTTGAAAACATAAAAGAACACCTGACACATGGCATCGCTCCATCTTTTCTCACAAGACTTTCAGAATCAAGGGATTCCTGGCCAAGAAACAAAAGCAAAATTGTCTCATTTCTTAGTGGATTTGGATAAAAACTGGTAACAGAATCAGGTCCAACCTCAAGAGACCGACCCTGGGTCTGTAAGGATTCACACAAGGGCAAGGCTGGGGGTTCATACTGAATCATGGTTATTGATCGATCCTGCCATATGGAGTTTGACATTTTAATCTGGACACTTGATCATGTTTAAATTGGGAGTGTGGTTTGTCCAGTAATAAAAGGTAGGACATTTCAAAAAGAAAAAAAAAAAACCAGAAAAGGTTGACGAGATACCTCAGTAATTAAGCACACTTGGTGGTCTTGCAGGACTACCTGGGTGCAAATCCCAGGACCCATGTGGTGGCTCACAACTATCTGTAACTCAGTTCCAGGGGATCCAACCCCTCTCTGACCCCCTCAGGCACCTGGCACACACGTGGTGAACATACATACATGCAGGCAAAATGCCCATACACTTAAAAAAAATCAAAACACAGAGAAAGTTGCTATATCTAGATGGCATTTGCTTGGTAGTGATTTCCTCTGTGATAAATTACAGCTAAAGAGTCCAAAGTGGCAAACTGCTGCCTGAAACCTGGTACTTATCCGAGCATCTGGAGCCACCCCCAACTCTCCTCCCAGGAAGCCTGCATTGCTTTATCACAGGACAGCAGAGGTGCCTGCTGCCAGAACCAGCTGACCAGCTGATGACTTCCTTTCTGGGAAGCTGCCCTGTGACTGGCTGAGTCCCTTTTCTATGCTCACAAAGGATGTGTGAGGATCCCAGGGAACCTCCTCACCAGCCCTAGGATAGAAAAAGTGAGGTGCGCAGATCACACCCATCTAAACTTAAATTGTGAATGCAGGAAAATAATAATAATAATAATAATAATAATAATAATAATAATAATAAGCCAAATAGCCAAAAAAGATAACAGGACTGGGCAAGAGCCAGGCTGAGCAAACACCTGAAACTTATAATTAAAGGAGGCCCCCATGCCTTCTTTCCGTGTTTTTCTAATTACCATACTTCCAGTTTGGGACCAATAGCTGACCAACTGAATACTTTCTCCCTGGAGAAAGTAAGCCGAAAGAAATATGTAATATATGAACTAATTAAACGCTGCTCACTAACAGACAAAATACATATGCTCTTAAAGCATGAAGAAGTATATATACAATATATCTCACAATTGTTCAGATAACGGTTTAACAGGCCTCTGATGTCTCACAGCACTTCTGAAGTCACGGACAAATCCTCAGGACCAGCAAGGGCAGGAGTCTCAGGTGAAGCCAACACACTTCCCATATCAGAACCCTCTGATAAGCTGGCTAAAGACAGACTCTAAGGTTGGAGCCCTTAGACCATCACTCAAACTCACCCCAGGTGATAGCACAGTCTGTAAAATGGAGAACCAGCATCCAGTGAATCAAATCATGCCGGGGGTGAAAGCTTTCCCCTGTGTTTTGGTCCAGCCTTCCTCCCGTTCTCCTTACGTAATATTGTGCTTCGGTCTATTGCTGTGTTGTCCCTATAAACACTCTCGGCCTGACTCTGTCTCTACCCACGTGGGGACCTCCAACCAGCAACTTTCAGCTACAACCACTGTTTGCTCATAACCCCCACGTGTGCCCAGCACGCCTTCTCTGGGATACTGCACACTCATGAAGACATGCGAGCAGGCGAGCCGCCCACAGCTGCTTCTTCCCCTTGCATCCTCTTCTGGTCCCAATGTCAGGTCCCAGCAACAACCCTTCTCTCTAAGCAGCCCCGTGACTAAACACACAGTCTTTCAAAACGTTTACCGTGGTTGACTTGAGATTGCCAGTAACTTCTTTCTTCAAGAGTCGGTTCCTTCTTGGGATCAAAAATGAGGAAGTCAGTCTTGGTGCCACCAAATCTCAAGTATGCAGGCGATAAACCTCTAGCCAGAGCGCGAAGCCTTGGAGAACTGTTGTGAGGACAAGAAAGTATAATGATGATGATGATGATGATGATGATGATTTTAGTGTTTTGTTTTTTTTTTTGAGACGTTTTACTATGTAACCCAGGCTTGCCTCAAACTTGTGATCTCTCTGCCTTTGTGCCCAGGATGCTGGGAGTATGCTCGTAATTGTTATTTTCTGAGAAAGCTCAGTTAAACACTTTCACTTCCATCTCTCTTGGTGGATCTACTCCTTAACTTCCAGCTGCTCTCTGCCTCTGGGGGAAAAAGAGAGAGGTGGACAGTTCAAGACGTATTTATCCACAGAAATAAAGATTCCGTGATTAACCGGAATAGAAGCAATGCTGAGGGTGGGTTTGTGGGGAGCATCTTGGAAGATGGTACTGTTGTTGCTGAGCTGAGGAACAGGCCACAAATTGGAAAGGCAGGAGGAGGAAAAGGGTAGAAGAACCTGGAGAAACTGAGATGGTGGTGGCTAATCAGTGTCAACATGCCTGTGTTTACAGGCACCATGGAAACACATCTCCAGGTCTGTCCAGGAGTGCATTTCCACAAAAATTTAACAGGGGAGGTAAGATCTACCCTAAATTTTGGTGACACCTCCCCACAGGCTGGAGCCGCAGACTGAATAAAAAGGAGAAAGTGAACATTCATCTCTCTGCTCTCCACACAGATGCCATGTGACAGCTGCTGGAGCTCCTGCCACCTGACTCCCATGACGTGATGAACAATACGCTGAAACAAACCTTTTCATCCTTACGTTGCTTTTGTCAGACTTTCTGTCACAGCAGTGACAAAACTAACTAATAAAAAATGGACACCAAACCCACAGATCCACAGGCCACACGTGACTGGAACGCAAGAAATGCATCTAGGAACTCCACAGCCACTGCACTTGGCAGGGGTCTTCCTTCTCTATACTCTAATCTCTCAAGGGTACCCCTAGTCCTACCACTGTTACCCACAACACCCTTACTCCTAAGCCCTCTGTATCCCTTTGGGATCCACAGCCATCTTGCTGAACCCACAATACCCCTAGTTCCACCTCTGCCCACCTCCCACGGAGCCAAACCCCAAACCCTACTTAAGAGACCTCCAGAGTCTGTCTCCTGCCATCGCTGATAGCCTACCGCCCACCCTGCCCTCTTCACGGGGCTGGGACTGCTTGAAGTATGAATCCAGAGTCCCGGCCACAGCTTCAGAGATGGGACCAGTTAGGGTCTGAACACAGAAACCCAGAGTGGCCATAGACTGAAAAGCCAGTATTACTCTGCCGGTCCACCACCTGTCAGATTGGAGTAGCAGCAACCAAAGAACCTAACACCCATGCTGCAAAGATGTCAAGACCAGAGAGCTACACAGGAATGGAAACAGGAATGCCATAACTCCAGATGCCAAGATCCCAGTGCAAAAACAAAATGGACAAACACAACAATGTGCCCCTTCCGGAAACTGTGCTCCAGGTCGGATATACCCTGAGAAAAGCAATTTAGAAGTGTAAGACAAGTGTTTCAATACAGAAGTTGTGAACATGGTCAAAGAGGATCTGAATAAATGTCTCAATGAGGACAAGACATGGCCAGCCACACAGCCCAGGAGAGCCAGGACAACAGCTTCCTCAGAGAGTCACTCAGGCCGTCCCTCTGACTTTGGCCAGACACCGGCTCTGGTCCTCAGCGTTTTTATCTTGTTTGCTAACAGAGGAGATCCATTTAGATTTACGTAGCTACTATCAATTGAGACAGGGCAACAGATCGGTGTCCTGTGGGACCTGGAGGGCAAAGGAGCAGTAGCATCAAACGATGGTGTCAGATACATGTGAACCAAAGTCTGGTCCCCAGCGGCATGGACTGCAGCACCGTGGGTGCCATCCATCAACCCAACCAAATTGCCTTACATCCTGCAGAGGGTTTCCCACTCTCTCAAATCGGCTCCTCCTGTGCGTCTCCCCGGGCTGCTTCAGCTTCCCCCTGGACCCCCTGGTCTGCCTGTCCCAGCTGCCGCCCCTGACACTGGCTCCCCGAGGGCAGGGGTGTTGTCTAGTCTATAAGATTCTTCGCAGTGCCTATTCGAATGCCTGCCACACAGCAGTGCTTCGCCAGTATTTGTTAAGTGAATGGACAAAGAAAGGCAGCCTAGAAAGGGCAAGGGAAGGGCAGCCAGTGAGTGTTTTTGAACGAGATGACATTAAAACTCATTGCCAGGGCCATTGCCACATAAAGCACGCCATATGTCTCGGAGTTTTGCTAGTAAGGACTTTTGTTTGTCTCCTTTGCAAGAAAGAATCTTCTGTGGTTTTAGAATACAATATTGATGTCCTCTGACCAAAAAAAAAAAAAGATTTAACAAGCTGCAAAATTTTTGCCATAAAAACAAAATTGATCAAAGGCACAGTATTTCAACCATATGCAGGAAAAAGAAAGAGGAAACACAGCCCAGCAGTGTCATGAAAATAAGGAAAGAATGTGTAAAGCAGCTGTTCTCTTTCCAGAGGAGGAGGCTATTAAGAAAACACACACACACACACACACACACACACACACACACACACACACACAGCAGCCAGCAGGTGTTTCTACTTTACCTTTAGGACAAAAACACATCGCTTCTCTTTGACACAGAAGCAGAGGCGGTTTATTGACATGCACTACATGCTATCATATTTCCATTTCCAGACTTAAGGGCCACCCCAGAGATTCCAAAGGAAGGAAATAGGACTGGAGTGAGCAACAGTTGGCACTGCAGCAAGAGCAATGAGGGAGACACAGAAGTTAATTAGCACAAAAGGACCTGGATGATAAAGCAAAAAGCTCAAGTAGGGAAGCGGTAGAGAGAGGAGGCAGCTACTCCGGGAGGTACTTTTTAAAAAGCAGACATGCTGAAGGAAATGAGAAGGCATGGCGTCGTGATCCAGGAGCAGGAAGTTGGAATTTTTAAGTTTTCACATACAGAAGTGATTTACTAGAGATGGAGAGAGAGTCAAGGCATGGTCATGCTGTCCACAGGTTGAAAAGAAGGAGAGCGACGTGTGCTAACAACAGGCAGGGAAAAAAGAAAAAAAAAAAAAAAAGTACTCTGGTCCTTAGCGCTTGCCAGTTTCCACGGTGTAAGTATTTTCACTGTAGCTGTTTCCAAGGTATCAGTGTGATGCCGTGGAATGTGTGGTGGAGAAGTGCTCGCATTTGATGGGGTGACGAAAACCCTGAGTAACCATTACCTGAGAGGGCCAGGAGGGAGAAACTGAGAGACTTGTTTTCTCAGGGAGACTTGATGTCACCTAAGATAATAGTAGTGGGACTTGGCACTGACCACTGACCGCAGTGACAGATTTTAATCAACATGAAGAATAGAGAAACAGCAGATGACAAGGGCTGAAGGGGGGGGGGCTGGAGGGAACCTCACATCAGTTTCACCCAGTGCCTTAGGCAGGCTGGAAGCACTTTTTTTTTTCACTTAGTCTCCTCACATTACAATGGCGTGGGTGTCGTTTTTATTCTCACTTTATAAATATGGAACCAAACAAAAAGGAGCTAAGCTAATTCACCCAAGGTAACGGAGGGAGAGGGAACTGAACTACAGAAATCTGCATCCAACCTGACGAGCTGCTGCCTAGAAGTAGCAGGCACAGGAGTAGAGTATGAGCGAATGCACAAATTGTCAAACTCAACAGGTCTACCGGGGAAGGGTCTTCAGTTAGCTAGGAATACGTACACTGTGAGAATGACAGCAGAGCCACCACAGGCTCAAGGTTCCGGAGAACGCGGTGGAATAGCTTGGGAGGGAAGGGGACACCAAGAGGTCAATCAGGAACAGAACTCAGCTAGCAGGCCTGTGGTTGCTCTCCGTTGTCTCTCTGCAGTCAAAATTATTTCCCTCAGTAACAAACGGGGGACTTGTGGCCCCGCCCAACGGTTTGAATGAGAAAAGTCCCACATAGTTGCTGTCCTGGCTTGGTTTGTGGCAACTTGACACAAGTAGAGTCATCAGAGAGGAAGGAGCCTCAGCTGAGGAAATGCCTCCTTGAGCTCCAGCTGTAAGGCATTTTCTCAGTTAGTGATTAAAAAGAGGGCCCAGCCCATGGTGAGTGGTGCCATCCCTGGGCAGGTGGTCCTGGGTTCTACAAGAAGGCAGGCTGAGCAAGCCATGGGGAGCAAGCCAGTAAGCAGCCCCCCTCCATGGCCTCTACATCAGCCCCTGCCTCCAGGTTCCTGCCCTGCTTGAGTTCCTGTTCCTACTTCCTTCAATGATGGACAGCAATGTGGAAGTGTAAGCTGAATAAACCCTTTCCTCCCCGACTTGCTTTTTGGTCATGGTGTTTGTGGCATCGACAGAAACCCTAACTGAGACAGCTGCACCACTTTGAACACAGGGTCCCAGGCGCTGGTGTCATTTGAGGAGGGGTAAGACCTGGCCAGAGGAAGCCATTAGGGGTAGCTGTTGACAGCTTCCAGCCTCACCCCTCTTCCAGAAACTCTCTTCCCTTTGTGTTTACTTCCTGTCCTGGCCACCAGCTGCCATCCACGGACTCTCTCTGAAACAGTAATCCCAAACAAACTTTCTTCCTTGCGCTGCCTCTGGTTGTGGTACTTTATCACAGCAACAGAAAGATAACCAGTAAAACTAGTTATTAAAGCTTGTACTTCGTATTCCTAACAAATGCTTCTCTAAACACATAAAGCAGCTGTCCACGATGATATGGGAACTTAACTACTAAAACTATCAATGAATGGTTATTGAAAATGGCAAAATAATAATAATAATAATAATAATAATAATAATAATAATAATGTTTACTGAAGGAGAAGGAAGAAGAAGAAGAAGAAGAAGAAGAAGAAGAAGAAGAAGAAGAAGAAAATTACCATGTAAAGGAAGCAAGAACTGCATTATTTGCTGTGTTGTTCAATGCCACTTTTGTCCTATGGCCCTTTTCTTCACCCACCCCAACACTGTATCGTCCCATCGTAATGAGGAAACTATGGCTGTGCGTGTATGTGCCTTATTTCTGATAGAGCGGTACTCTCTAGCACAGTAGCCCAAAGCTGCTGGCACTGGGAATGCAGCCAGGCTTTACCGAGAAGTGGTGTGAACACAAATCACAAGGCTGCCGAGGTGTGACTTCAGGAAGGGGTGCGAACTGTCTCGTACTGTTTTTATATGGGGCTGTGGATGCAGAGCGGGGGCCATTTAGTGTGCAAGACCCGGGACTCGGCCCCCGGCACTGCCTAACCTCAGCGCTCACACACTTCTCTTTTTGTTTGCTCTTTGTTGTCTTGCTGTCTGAGGCAGGGTCTTCCTATGCAGCCCAGGCTAGCCTTGACTAGGTTATCCTGGGTCTCCGAGGATGAGGGCTAGCAACTGTGGTTAGCCTTTCTGCTTTTTGTAAAACGTGTTTACCAAAAAATTTTAAAATCACATCTGTGCCTTGCCTATGAGGCTCACATCCTAATTCTACTTCGTGCCGTTTCTAGGACTGGGGTCTCTTTGGTATTCTTCACTAATCCAGACTGAGGATATATTTTGACTAATTTCCCCAGGGAAGAGAAATTTAACAGATGTTCCTTTTCAATTCTAGAGTCTTCTATGGTTAACATTTAAATCTTGTGTACTCTGTCCTCTGGTTACAAATGTGAGCGAGACCTGTTTCTGATTGTCTACTGCTTGTAATAGGCTAATGCCATCCAAGTTCATCTGGTAAAATCTCCTTGGAGGTACCTTAGAGGTTTGGGGCCCAAGTCTCCTATCTGTATGTTAATGCTAGTTTTTTTCTTTTTCTTTTTTTAATCAGTCTATACATTTGTCTCTACACAGTCTTTTTTTTTTTTTTCTAACACACTCTGCTCTATTTCTAATAAGTGGCTTGTATTCTTTTTATATACCTTTGTTTCTGTGATCAGGGTCTGGCCTCAAATATGCTTTTATTTACTAGCTGATTGACATGGGTGAGTTATTTAATCTCTAATAACCTCAATTTCTTCATTGTTGCCTCCCAGATGCCGGGATGAAAGGTGTTTGCCATCACACCTGGCCTTAAAAATCATTATTATTTTTTTTTAAGTTAAAGTCTGATGTCACCCAGGTTGGCCTTGCTATGCTGAGGATGACTTTGAACTTCTGACCCTCCTCCCTTTGGCTCCTGAGTGCTGGGCTAAGAGTCATGAGCCACCACTCCTAGTTTCACGCAATGTTGGGGATTGAACTCAGGATTTTGTGTGTGCTAGGCAAAAGGAAACAATTAGCTTAACCGTCAAACTCTGAAGGAAGTACTTATTATCTCATCAAGTCATCATAGAAATCCAGTGAGTCAGATTTGAGAAAAAAGGGTGGTTTGACTACCAAGCTCGTAGCCATGGGAATCTGTGTGAAATCGTCAGTGACCCCAGAAGGTGTGGGCTCAGGACATGCAATCAATGTCTAGGCCTTTGACTGTGGTGACATAAAGGGTTGGTAGACATGTAATCAGCTGAGTGTGGTGACACTCAAGAGGCTGAGACAAGGCTTTCATGAGTTCAAAGCCGACCTGAACTAATGGTTACACAATGTCTCAACACCACAGTGATGTGGACATCTCTGGAGGCTCCCACGGTTTGGATGACCTATGACTATGCCTGGAGGCTTTCATCTTGGGGACAGTATGCAGTCACGGAGCAGGAGCAAAACAGGTGTTGCACCAGGAGAGGGGGAAACCCTGCAGCTGATGAAGCAGCATTCAGTCTGCACCCTCATCCTGGAGAAACACGCTTTTACTAAGGATTTTTTATTAGCACATATTAATTACACATAGTAACAAGGTTTCATCGTGACATTTTCAAACGTGTATAAAATGTATTTTGATCATCTCTGTCCCCTCCCAATGATTCCTTTCATTTCCCCAGTTAGTCTTTTGTTTCGCCATCTCTGTCTTCTCTCTGTCTTCTCTCCGTCACCCCCTTTTCTTCTCCCCAACCTTGCTTCGCCACTGACACCTCCCCCCCATTTAGTCCAGTCTGGCCTCAAACTTGCTATGTTGCCAAAGATGGCCTTTTACTCCTGATCCTCCTGCCTCCATCTCCCAAGTGCTGGGATGCTGGGATTGCAAGCATATAGCACCATGCCCAGGGTTACAGGGCGCTGGGAATGGAACCCAGGGCTTCCTGCCGTAGCCACACACTTCATCAACTGAGTTATGCTAGGCCCTGTAATATTTAAATGCTTAAAAAGCAACAAGACAAGGAATGGTTATTCTTCATAGAGGCTTTTTCTAACTTTTGTTTCTTCTCTTCTTTTTCTTCCTTCTTCTTCTTCTCCTTCTTTTCTTTTTTTAAAGCAAAATTTCCTGACCGAGTTTAAAGGACACCAGCTTACTGGTCCTACACTGATGCAAATCCAAACGCTCCAGCTGAAATGCTGGCCTTGTGACAGCTTTTTCCCTCCTCCAAATCTCCTCTTAATACCTGGGCTTGGCTGGTGCCCAGACAAGAAGCGCTGAGTAAATGAAACAGGAAAAAGCTTTTGGGGGTTGGCTGCACATGGGGGGGGGGGGGGGGGGTGGAGGAAGACTCTGGAGACTAAATGAAAAGTTGGTTCAGCAAAGAGTGGCTCGCCCTCGGCAAGTGTGGGAAGACCCGGATCTGGGACCTGCACTTACCCCAGGAAGGTGAGGAAGCGCGGGTTGGTGGCCAAGCTGGCGTCGATGGTGATGGACAGGAACGAGGGACTCACGAGTTGGAGCGGCCGCTCGGTGGAAAACTCCAGGTCTACCACGTCCTCGGCCTGCATGGTCCCGGCTGGGGCGCCCTGGGCCAGGGCACCAAGCGGCCCCCAGAGCCACAGCAGCAGTAGCCGAAGCATCCCTGACCGCTGGCGCTCTGAGAACTGAGTCCAAGCGCTAGTTCCCGCCCCCTGCGCCCGGTCCTGCTTTGCCTCCGCCGCCAGAGCTCCGAATCCTCCCTCGGCGCTCCATCCCTCCCACTCCTCCCGGTCGTCCCTCCCCTAGCGCCCTCTTCCCCCGCCCCACCTCCCGCCCTCCCCTCCCTGCTCTTTCCCATTTCCTGACTGGCTTTCCCCTCGGCGGAGGTCACGTCCACTTTTTAAATCATCCACACCCATCCGAAGGGTGCGGAGATGGCCAGAAGCCAAGATCCTGGGAGGCCTGGGGAGGGAACGCCCCGGAGGCGCGCGGGGGTGGCACCCGGCTTCCTGGTGCCCCGCGCACACTGTCCCCTCTTCTAGCCCCTACCTTACGCACTTGTCACCTGAGCCTGCCAAAATCTGACAAACCCGGGATGTCCTTTGCCAGGGGATCTGCTTCTCAGGTAGTCCTCTGTCGCTTGAAAATCTGATCAGAGCATCAGCCAAAATGCAGCTAGAAATCAGTCCTCAGAAAAGATTTCGTTATGTCAAACAACCCATAAAAAACAGTACTGGGGAGAGCCTAAGAGCTGTTAGATGTTCCGAGGTGGTGCACAGCTAACCACAATAAGAACCGCCCCCCATCACCCCTATCACCCTCCATTCTCCACCTCCCCCCGCCCCCTACCCGCAGCAACTACCCATGGAATTTGGAGCAAATCCCAAATCCCATCCACCTGGCACCACCCTCAACTTACTTCCTCAACTTTTCTTTAGTTTTCCCTTGACCTTTATATTGGTTTATAATGATAGCAAACAATAAGTACTCAAGCGATCTCCCCCCCCCCCCCCGTGTGTGTGTTACTGTAAGAGAAGCTTCTGTGCTAGCTCACCAATTGCTAATTTTCTTCTTTACACAGAGGGGCACTCACGGACGCATGCACACACACAGAGCAACCTGTACAAGCATCAGAGAGCTACATGAATGCAGGTGCGCAAGCCCAAGCAGATGGCATTCTGCTCCCGTGCAGTCTCCTCGAGGAAGCTTTCCCGTGCTTCCGGGCGACAGAGGCCTCCCAGAACACACCCTCACATGGCAGCGTTGACCACCTTTGCCAGCACTTGTGATGTTGCTCACTCGTCAGCTCTGGGCTTATAAAGCCCTCAAAAACAGGGGTGGGGACTGTGGTGTGCCCCGGAAGTGCTCATGCGTGGTACCATGCTCGGCCCTGGTAGGTAATCAGTTCATACTTACTGAGTCAGCTAGTGACACCAAAACCCTCAGATTATTCTGTTCAGGTTGTACCAACAGTAAAGCAACAAATAACAATGGATTGATATGGAATGTGTATCTAATTTACACCCATTTGTCTTTTCAATAATCTCAGGTGATTTAAAAATTACATGCATGGTTAATGCTTTGACCTGCATTGAGTTGGTATGTTCTAGGGATACAGAAGAAGGAAATTCCTATTAACAGGAAACTGTCTGGAGTGTGTAATTCTATGGAAGGGGGAAGCAGATAGGGGGCCTTTTTCCATCTTTCTCATGACATGGATTCCAGCTCTCACTTCCCTCCTAATGTCATGGGGTGAGGGCACACCAATTCCTTTGGAGTTTTGGGGAGCTTTGGAAAAGAGGGCACTACAAGTTCTTCACGTCTGCACATCCATGACATCCTGATATGCGGGCAAGTTGCTAACACAGGGACAGGGACACAGACAGGATGCAGAGGCAGCTCTGGCTCATGATCATCTCTTGGCTTCTTCTCAGTTCTGGCTCCAGACACTAAGCTGATTTGTCCTGTTGTGCCAGAGAACATGATATGGGCACACAACAGGGAGGAAGATATGGTCATATTCAGAGAAACTGTCATTTCAGGGACACTTTATAATAGGACACTTCACATATTTGTAGCAAGGTACACTTGGCCTAGATTTTGATGAAGGCCCTCGCTTGCATTCTAGCCCTCAGTAAGGTCTGGAGTCTTGGACCAGCTGTTAATTATTTTTGTTTGTTTCTAAGACAGGGTTTCTCTGTGTAACCCTGGCTGTCCTGGAACTCGGTCTGTAGACAAGGCTAGGCTTGGGTCACCACTGCCTGGCAATTATTTTTGCTTTTGAGTCAGAGTCTTGATGTGTTGACCTAAAGCTCCCTGAAGGACAAGGCTAGCCTGGGACTCAGCTCTGCTCTGCCTCAGACAAGTTTTGTTGTTGTTTAACTCTGAAGGGCTTCAAGTTCATTTGACAGATGGAGGTACTCATACTTAGTTCAAAATCCTTTTTTTTTTTTTTTTTTTTTTTAGCCAGCTGACTATATTATATGTGACACATCCAGATCCATTCACAATCTGAAATATGGCTTCAGGTGAAAGAATTAAACACTATCACCCTACTGTTTTTATTTTGTGTTTTCAGAGCCAGGGTTTTGCTCTGCAGCCCAGGCTGGTCTTGAACTGCTAGTGATTTTCCTCCCTCTGTTCTGGAGGGCTGAGATTACAGATGTAGGCCCAGCAAATGTCGGGAAGGTGGGAGTGCTGGGCCTGGGGCAAAGGGGCCTCACCTGGTGGCATATTTAGTCTGGGCTCTCTACCATGTTCTGGAATTCTGGTCCATGGTCACTTAGCTTTGGGGAGACCTGAGTGATAAACTGAATGTGCAAGGTCCTGGGTGTGATTCCTGGTAGCTGGAGTGTATACACACACACACACACACACACACACACACACACACACACACACACGACAAAAGAAAGGAAGGGATAAAGTGAATGAAGGACACTACTTTGAAGGTGGGCAAAAAAAGATTTCCTAGTTTGTTTGTTTCAAATTCTGAGTTACTTGAGGAGACCTGTGCAGTAGACAGTGGCTACGTTGGAACTGGTGTCTTTGAGTTTCTATTGCCGAAACAAAACACCATAACCAAAAACCCAAGTCATGGAGGAAAGAGTTTATTCAGCTTACACTTCACCAAAGGAAGTCAAGACAGAACTCAAGCAGGGCAGGATCCTGAAGGCAGGAGTAGACTCAGAGGCCATGGGGGGGGGGGTGCTGCTTACTGGCTTGCTCAGCCTGCTTTCTCATAGAACTCAGGACCACCAGCTCAGGAATGGCACCACCCACCATGGGCTAGGCCCTCCTCCATTGATCACTAATTAAGAAAATGCTTTACAGCTGGATCTCATGGAGGCATTTCCTCAACTGAAGCTCCTTCCCCTCTGATGACTCTGGCTTATGTCAAGTTGACATACAAAACCAGCCAGTACAACTGACTCCTTGTCAACATGACACACAAACTCATCACTATTAAGCCACAACCCTTCCTCTCTCAATCAATCATCAAGATCGCTCATTAAAAACATAGATAACTTTTAAAAGTTCCAGTCTTTACAAATTCAAACATATTAAAATGTCCCTTTAGTCACTTTAAAATAGCCAATCTCTTTTAAAAATCTAAAGCAAATTTAAAATTCAAAGTCTTTCAACTGTGGGATCCAGTAAAATTATTTCTTACTTCAAAAGGGAAAAGTCAGGGCACAGTCACAGTCAAATCAAAGCAAAATCAAACTCCCAACTATCCAGCATCTGGGATCCACTCGTGGTCTTCTGGACGTCTCTGAAGGGCTGGAGTCATGTCTCCAGCTCTGCCCTCTGCAGTACTCACAGCTTGTCTTCTGGGCTCTGGCTGGTTCCACTCCACTGTTGCTACTGTTCTTGGTGGTCATCCCATAGAACTGGCATCTTCAAAACTGCTAGGGTCTGCTGTATCCGGGCTGCACTTTCACCAATAACCTCTCATAGGCTCCTGGTGCCAAGCCTCAACTTCTTTGCATGACCCCTTCAACTTCAATTTTGCCTTCAGCTGCCCCTGAGGCTGCACTTTCATCAATGGCACCTCCTGGCCTCTCACAGTGCCAAGCCTCAACTGCTCTCCACGGCCCTTCATGCCCACAAAACCACTACTATTGGGTGACTCTTACACATTAGCAAGTCCAGCTGCCAGTAGGAAGTAAGACCTTGACTGCCTCTGGACACAGCTTCTCTGTGCTTTCAGGAAACACTTCTCAGATTTCACCTCAGGGATGCTGGTCTCTTCTTCATCACTGCCAATTTCTTCACTCCAGCTAACCAGTACTAAGTATCCAAGCACAGCAAAGTTTCCCGTTAGTAGTTCTGCACTGCTCCTTTCTTATCTCTCATGCTCCCACAGAACATCCCACTGAGCCTTAACACCCAACGGCTCTTGTAGCCCAAAGTTGCAAAGTCCTTCCACTTTGAAACAGGGTCTTTTGTCATTGGCCACTGTATACATCGGGTTGGTTGGCTCAAGAGCTCTCAGGATTTTCCTGTTTCCGCCCCCCACCTTGTAGGAATGCTGACATTATTGACATGCGGCACTAGAGCCCGGTGACATGTGAGCTCGGAGCTCACACTTGAGTGATGGGCACTTAATCTGCTGAGTCAGCTCCCGGTCCCTCTGAGGTCCATTCATGGCTTTAACATTAGGATCTGTAAGAGGTGGCCTGCAGGACTGGGGAGACAGTTCCAGTGCCAACCTGTGAGAATCCAGTTTGAGCCCCAGAACTCACATTACAGAAGACAAACTGCAAGCAAGCTCTAACAGGTAGAGCAAAAAAAACCAAAACCAAAACAAACAAGCAACAACAAAAAACAGATGGATCTCTGAGTTTGAGGCCAGCCTGATCTACAGATCTACAGAGTGAGTTCCAGGATAAGCTACACAGAGAAATCCTGCCTAAAAAAAAGAAAAAAAAGAAAAAAAAAAAAGGTACGGCTCAAAACAAGATAAACAAAATGTAAGTGGAAGACTGCTTGAGCAATGACACTGTAGTTTATCTTCTGACCAATGCACACATGTGAATGCGTGTGTGTGTGTGTGTGTGTGTGTGTGCGCGCGAGCGCACGCACACGCACACACACAGGGTTGGTGACGCTATAGGAGTTTGATGTTCTGGGAATGGATTTTATATAAAAGGAATCGTACACTACCCCCTGCTTAAACCTCCACTGTGGGACGCTGCAGTAAGGAGATTTCTGCCCATCACTGTCCACCCAAGCCCAGCCTCCAGAATG